TACATACATACCTATATACGTTTTCACACGCAACTTACTCTCTCGCATTTCCTCATTGCTGAGATTGGCAAACAACTCGTCAAACAGAGAGTCTGTCATGGTGTAACCGTGTCCATTGAGTTTATAAAATGACCGATATGTATATATCTAGTAGGACCTATATGGATTTAACTGTGTCCATTGTTCGTCTCCATGGCGTAACTTAACACGCTGTGCGCCGCCAAGGCACGAAAATGTATTTATAATCGTTATTGTTTTGTGAAACGCAGGATATATTTCCCCTCAGTTGACTCGTAGTATGATAATCTGGCTATGTCAACGATGTTTAATAATAATTGATCTCGACTGCGTGTGTACTATATATATATATATATATATATATTAAATCGAATAGGGATATAATATTGTGTACTTATTATTTCAAGAGATATTTACTGTACAATTCAATATGTATTAGCAATAAATACAGACTATGTATATTATAGGTACTATACTCATAAATAGTCATAGTCCTCCTATGATTTTTATTTTAATGTGGTCAATTATGGTCCATTCGACAACATTATAGGGCAACGTCACGTCACCCATTTTGACCAAATTCGACCATTGAAAAGGAAAGATTTTTAACACCAAGAGACCTGAAGAGTCAAAACAATACATATTTTTCAATTTTTACAATGAACCACAGTCCACACAAGTCCACTTTTTTGATATTTATATGAGGGGGATATTTTGGTACAATCCAATTTCCCGCCGTAGCACTATACAGTAAATACCGAGATCGGATTGGCTATTGAAAACGTAAAATAATATCATCAGGGTAAACGTACATCGACGAGAACACATATGATATAAATTGCGATGTCATGCGTTTACGTACCATATTCGCATGCGGCATACCAACAGATCTATGGAAGGTGGAAGCAGTGAAACTATGATGATTTATGCGTATAAAAGTGTAGGCGTGCGGTTAAAGCTTTGTAGTATAGTATATATTATCTGTGTAATGATAAAAGGCTTGTCCAGGTAAATCTATACGCGACATCATGGAGACACAAGAAGATACGATATATATTCAGGGTATGCCCAAGAATGTCACAGCAGATGAGATCAATAAATTCTTCAGTCAAATCGGTGTCATCAAGGTAATTTAAATTGCATGTTTTATGTTGGATTAAATTTGCTTGTTTAGCAGTAGGTTAGATGTACGAAGGAATTTTATCGCACTATCCGATTCCGATGATAATCGCTCAATATTAAATGCTGAAACGC